AAAACGTTTATGCATTAAGGAACATCGACGTATCGGCTACAGTATACCAGTTAAAATGATATTTTAGGAATAATCTGATGCTGAATTATGTCTAACAATCTCAAAAATTATTAAATTGGTCTTTGCAATCGTTTCAGAATCATTAATAGAACAATCAGCTGTTACTGCACAAATCCTTGATATAATTTCAACAAATATTGTTTTATCTAAAACCCTCAGCCATGACACATTCTTATCTTATCCTCTTCGAGGTTTACAGTAAGGGAAGTGGAAGGCAGTAGAGAGAAGTGCTGTCTATATTGTCTACAATGGCCAGAGTCTAGACAAGTATGAATAACTGTCCAAGGACTGCACTCTAGCGAAGTGACAAGTTTGCCAACTCAAATAATGTGAAAATGAATTTGCCAGTCTTATAACTTTGAACATTAGAGTTCCCAAACACATCAGTTATAGGGTTTATTATGGCCAATGTATGCTGTATATCACGTATGAGGAGTGTAGCTGTCTGTTCACAATTTAAATATTGCCGCTGGTGCCCCAAATACCCTTCTGATTAGAAAGCTGATCTTAGTCATGTTTTTACTTTTACTTTACATTATCCTCTTCACCACTGATCGGCTCGTTAGCTGCTTGGGCGGTCGGTCACGTCTCTGATACGCACTGATTTTTTTTTTTTTTTTTTACGGGAATTAGCCCACCCGGGCACAGGTCAAACGACCCACAACGGAGCCTGCGGGCGAAAAAGAAAGAACGGAAAGAAATTGTAAATATAGAAAAAAAGGTTATACACCACGAAGATGCCGGAAAACCAGCTTTTTAAAGTGAGACAGATTGTAAGAGCATGGAAACACAGAAGAAGGAAGAGCATTCCACAGCTTGGCTGTGTGAGGAAAGAAGGAGGTACTATAACGGGTTATTCTCGTGTGACCGACATCCAAGGAGAAATGGCGGGCACCGTGGGCAAGACGTGTGTTACGAACCCACGGCCTTGCCGGCGGTACACAGGATGCCAAATCCACTGAACATTGTCCGTTAAAGTACCTGTAAAAGAGAGAGAGTGAAGCAACATTGCGGCAAAGAGAAAGGGAAGAGAGATTGTCGACTAAAGGAGGAGAGTTAATACGACGAAATGCCTTTGATTCCACCCTATCTAATAGTTGGACAGAAGAAGAGCCACCCCAGATATGAGAGCAGTACTCCAAGTTAGGACGAATGAATCCCATATATACTTGGAGCAACTGCTCAGGAGAGAAGTAGCTGCGGCATCTGTACAGCATTCCCAACTTTCGGGAGGCAGCTTTAGTTATACTAAGGATGTGTGATTTCCAGGACATATTGGAGGAAATGGTGTGGCGTAACATATTTATTTCAGAATTTGGGAGGATGATAGCGTCCTGAAATGTAATTGGTGGGAGATCGTCTAATTTACAAAGTGTAATTGGTAAATATTGAGTTTTATTACTATTGAACTTAACCAAGTTTGTATCTCCCCATTCAGAGATGCTGCACAGATCCGCGTTGATAAAAGTAATGATATCAGTTCTAGAAACAGATCTAGTTTGAGAGTTAGGAGGAAGGGGAAAATGTGAGGAAGAGTGAAGAGTAGAATCATCAGCGTAAGAATGGATAGAATTAGTTGTAGTGTGAGGGCGCGTGTGTTTTCCAACACCTCTTCACCACCCTCATCTTACATACTTCTCTTGTCTTAGTTCTTACTCTTACTCAGTTCTGTCACATATTCTTTTGGTAGCATGGACATTCTTTTGGTAGCATGGTCATTCTTTTGGTAGCATGGTCATTCTTTGGTAGCATGGACATTCTTTTGGTAGCATGGACATTCTTTGGGTAGCATGGACATTCTTTTGGTAGCATGGTCATTCTTTTGGTAGCATGGACATTCTTTTGGTAGCATGGACATTCTTTTGGTAGCATGGACATTCTTTTGGTAGCATGGTCATTCTTTTGGTAGCATGGTCGAGGGTCTAGGCACATGGGTATGGTAATTCTGGTATCAAGTCACTTGGACGGAAATAAAGGTAAAATACTGTGGGATAAATGAATACACCTAAAGTACTCTAAAAACAAATTTATTAATATGAAATCAAAGGGAAAAAGATATATTATTAGTCATATAACTACCAGGCTCAACTCCTGGGCTTATTGCAGACTCAGTACTTTCTTCTTTGCTTATTTTCTTATTTACTTATTTTCTTATTTCTTTACTCAACAGTAATTACTTAGATCTTACACTCTTACTGCACACAACCTTACTGGTGTTACATTACATGGCATAGCAGGACCAGTTCCTTGGCCCTACTCACCATACATAGTACATGGCACTTATTGTAGATTACTTTACTCAACATCCAAGTGGTACTTCTCAGTACAGTTACAAGACCTTACTCAACATACACGTTAATAATGAAATCGGCAGATACCTGAGTCCACTACCCAACATGGGATAATTATTTCCAACTAATTATCCCTAACATACATGTTACATCACTCTCTGTGGACATATACTTCCAGGGTGCATCCCAGGGTAGAACACTGAGATTTACGACCGTTGTTATTGTGTGTGGTAGCCAGACACATGGCGAGTCTGGGGTCTGGCCCAACGAGGCAGTGGAGTACTTTAATCAGGCCTCATCGGTGCCATCGTTTCATATATGGTCCCTGTTGGGTATCTACTACATCCGGGGCAGTTGTTGATGAAAGAATCACAATGGGATCTGGAACAAACGTTGGGGCGGCGTCTGGGGACGGAAGCATGACAACACAAACAACTCTCTTGTCTAGATGACAGACATATTTACGTTATATTACTTCCTACACTGGGTGAATGACAATTCAACTGTTAAAGCATGAACACTGATGAACACTGATATTCACTACAATTGACTAAATTACCTGAATGGCTACACATAAACATACCTGGAACAAACGTTGGGGATGCGTCAGGGGACGGTCGTCCTGCGCGATGCACGGGTATATATATCCCTGAGTTGCCAGTGATCGCTACTCACGCAATGACAATAATCACAAACAAACTAACTGTTACTCATTCAAAGATGACCCTCAGTTGACAATGGTATGGCGAATTACTTGAGTTGATATACACAGACTAATTCAAGATTGAGCTTCCCAGGAGAAAGTGGAATAAACAACGCATTGATTATACTGCCAGACTGGGGTTACTCATTCTAAGGGGGAATACTTAACTCTAATCTTAATTTCTAAGGGTCGCTGCCACCAGACCCCCTCTGGACAGCATGTAGCTCGTTAGGTAGCGGGCAGAGTGGACTAGGCATTGGGTTAGGTTTTTTATTGACCAGATCGATAAGGGTGAAACCACAACCTGTCTTAGTCCTTTCAAATGTTCCTTCTACTCACTTCAGTTCATTTTTGGTACTACCTAACCTCAGTTCTTCTTGGTAGCATGTCGATGGTCTAGGCACATAGGTAGTGTAATTCTGATATCAGGGTCACTTGGACGGAAATAAAGGTAACTACTGTGGGAGAAATGAATACTCCTAAAATTCTCAAAGAACAAGTTTATTAATATAAAAGCAAAGGGGAAAATAGATGTTATTAACATATAACTAACAGGCTCAACTCCTGGGCCTATTGCAGACTCTGTATTTCTTATGTACTTGTTTCCTTTGTATGTATATTATGTATGCTGTATTATATATTATGCTATGTATATTATGTATATGCTCCCTTTATATATATTATTTATTCAGCCTAGCTAGCAGCGTGTGGCAATGTTATTACCATGTCCCACATGCTTAATTAATGTGCCTGGCGACGTATGGAAGCTGTTAATGTATCACTTGCCATACGTCGTCTATAGAGCAGTTGACAAGCAGACAGGTTGAACAGTGCTACTCCCCTTGTGTACATATCTCTTATCCAGTAAATCGAACCTACAAACTATATAGGTGTTTGTGTTCGCTCCTGTATATAGAACTTATTACCCAGAACACGAACATGGCGCAGTGAACCGGTTTTACTGGATAATTACGAGTGACAGTGCAAAGTTTGTGGAAAGCCGGCTTATGGACCCCCTCGCCCTGCGTCAACCGCCGCCCGCCACCCCTCCTCGAAGAATTTAGCAACTTTGAGCAGCGTCAGTGACAGTGATTTTC